GAGTCTTTGTTTCATGTCATAGTTAATGTTTAGGTTAGTTGGTTTAGTTAGCTTAGTGCATTGAGTTGGTCATGGTTCTTGTATCTCTTGAGTCTGCTCTCCTCTGTTTCAATAAAAGCTCTCATCCTAACTGCACTTGCATCCGTCCTGCTTCGTTTATGTCACGAATCGTGACAGTTACAACGTCCACACCTGCGGCTTATAGAGAAGTGTGGCCTATATATGTACAAAATTGTTTTTCTTCTTAAAATTAGTGGGTGTGGCTTATATTCAGGTGCGCTCAATAGTCTGAGAATTACGGTACTGTAGATGATAAGATATTCACAGTCTTTGCAATTTTACGTCAAGGAACATTATTCTGAAATTGTTCCACAAATTGTAGATGCAGTTTTTCGCACATTGGTGAATCTCTGCCCATCTTTACTTCTAAAAGACTCTTTTTATACCCACTCATGTTTCTAACCTGTTGCCAATTAACCTCCAGCTGTTTCTTTATCCTAACACTTACTTTTCCAGCCTTTTGTTTCCTCCGTCCCAACTTTTGTGAGACATGTTGCAGCCATCAAATTCATAATGACGTTGTTTTTCCATAAAATGGTACATTTCCTCACATTAAACATTTGATGTGTTTTCTATGTTCTATTGTGAATAACATATGGGTTTATCAGATTTGCAAATCTTTGCATTCTGTTTTTATTTACATTTTCCACAGCATCTCAGGTTTTTTGGAACTGGGCATGTAGAATAGCAGTTGGAGATCCTGAAGAGTTATTTGCATTGCATTGTCATCCACCTACCTTCTTCTTATTGATCCAAACCTGTGATGCCTGATGACTATGTACAATAAAGCCTGCAAAGAGAGCCTGCTGTTAGCAAATCAATAAAGATAATGAAAGAGCATTGAACCACACTCCATGCTTAAGTGCCTTGTCGAGTGTGTTATTTGCAAAAGCTCTGGATGAGTCAGGATTTGGAATGTTCATATCATTTTGTCCTGAACGGAGACTGTATTAATGTTCTCAGCTTGATAAAAAGCTTGTGGCCATGATGAGCAGACTGATTACACACTCACAGTTCTTGGATATTTTCTGTATTGCTCAGATCAGTCCACTAGGGGGCTGTCTTACACAACGAATCTTTTCCAAGTGGCCAGCAGTGTATATTTTTATTTTATTTATTTTTTTGTGAAACAACAGTAAGGAAATACAAAGTACTACAAAAACACTTGAATCTATAAAACAGTAAAAAAAAAAATCTAAATTCTGCATCTTATATCCAAAATCAATCATACATCTAATACATCAAGTATCCGTTTTAACAGCTTTGCGATTGTTCTGTATTGAAATTAGAGAGTGGTCAGTCTGCCATTTGGTACAGTTGACAAATACTTTGCTTTATGTATATGATATTTCCCAAATAAAATATATTCAATTTTAGTTCTATTGTTCGTTTCACAGTTATAGTGAACAAAAGAAACAAAGTAACTTGGTACCACAATAGTTTGGTATAATAACAACTGAAAAATAAATGTAAGACATAATGGCAAAAACCCTTCTTTAAACTTACTAATAAAATAATTACATGGATAATACCTATTTATTATTTTAAAGTGAGTTTCTTTGACTTTATTAGGAATGAAATATTTATTTATATCTGACCACAGATTCTGAATAAAAAGGAAGAATACTCCTGTTTCCACTTCACCATAGGTGAAATGCTTTTTTTTTCTAATATAAAGGTTATTAATTTTTTTTATTCTTGAATGAAAGGCCCCCAACAGTGAGATCTTTTAGAGAACCAATTACAGGATTATACATCTTTTCATTTTTTACAAGGTGAAGAAGTTTTGAGGGAAATACAAAGAATGAGTTTAAATAATTTTTTCAAGGATACATTTATCCCAGAATTATTAACAAATTCAGTGTAATTATATGGGCCACCTGAATGATTTATTAAGTCTGTAACAAAAAATGAAACCTTTCGCTCCAATCGCTAAAACCAATCGCTCCAAAAATAAAATACATTGATTACTCTAAATAACACAGAAGTGGGGAGAAAAATTGTGTTCGTAGTCTAATTTCCACGCATCTAGAGCTTGTTTGTGAAAGTTAGACAACTTAGCGACTTAACCCTAACTTAACCACATTTTTTAAAAGATTAGATTGGGGATGAAGAACCATAGGAAATTATTCTCACAAAGACAGTGCTTGATCCAGTTCATTCTAAAGATATTATTAATATAGTTAAAATCTAAAGTGTACTCTGTCTTGCCTCTCCATGTTGTCAATTGTGGCACACACGTATTAGAGTCTACATAAAGGGATAATCATAACAATACAATACAGGACCTTGAATAGATCGATTTCTTTGGAGCCAACAGTTAAAATATTAATAATTTTATTTTTATAATTCTCTCTGATGCTGATTTGCTAATTACTATTCCCAAGTATCTAATTACCTGTTTAACCTGTATTCCTGATATACATGAATCATCTAATTGGTGAACTGCCATAATTGCTCTCTTAGATTGATTCACTGATAGACCGGGGCATCATAGAACAGTTGAAGTGCCTCCAGAATAACGTGGACCTGATCTTAGTTCTTCAGAAATAAACAAGTGTCATCGGCGAGTTGACTAATAGTTAAAGTGAGATATCCTATCTCAATACCTTTAATTTGAGAGCAATGGACAGTGTAAAGATTTACTAGCTACTAATAAAAATAGAATGGGGAAATAGGGCATCCCTGTATTAAAGGGGTGCCATAATGGGGGAAAGATTAGGATGATTCTAAGGGCCCTGGTCAGACAGGGGGCCCAGCAGAACATCATACTTTCCTGTATGGTATTGGTGTTTAAATGGCCTCTAGTAAGAAGCACGCTATAATGAATGTCCTCAGACTGTGCCAAGTGCAGGTGTGTGTCCCTAAGATGTTCACGGATTATTCAGAAACACGGTGCTTCCCAGTTGTAAGTCGTTACACACATCACATCAGGTTGATGGCAAGAGATGGAGCAGACAAAATCGGGATACCAAAAGAAGAAAGAAAAACATGAAAAAGAGGAGAGAGCAAGATGGGATTTTTTTTTATTTTTTTTTTTAAAGGTTTTTTATGTTCCCTGTTTTGTGCTGTGAATCTGACGCTAGCCCGTATGAAGCTGTAATAATTAACATCAAATAGAAATTCTATCACTTACGCCCCCTGATGTTTATCTTTGGAAATTGGAACACAATATTTACAAGAATGTGTTTTTCCACGCAATCGAGCAATCGTAACGGAGCACTGAGCTTCAAAAAGCACGGAAAAGCACCAAGCGGCAATAAAACTAGACCAGTGTCGTATATATTCAAGCTTTCTGAAGCCTTGCATCAGCTTTCTGTGAGGAATCTATCGAAATTCAGTGTAATCAAATAAATCCGCTTTGATTGTCGCAAGTAATTTTATGACAGCAGTGTTGTAATGATGAGTGAATCGTTTATTTGAGTCGGTTCATTTCAGTCAGTTGGAGAATTCCTTTGATAAAACCCGTCTGAATGATTCATTCGTGAATAGAACCGATTTGATTTTCGAGTTCAACTCACTGATTCAATGATCCTGTCACTGTTCGATAATTTCCACATTTCGTTGTGGAGCTGCTTGTGTGTGAAACGTATTATTCACTCAATGAATAATAATAATAATAATAATAATAATAATAATAATAATAATAATAATAATAATAGCAAAGTTCATTGTTCTTGGTACATGTGGAATAAGAAATTACAAGTCTACAGCTTATAGTTTCTATAGTGTCTGTGTATGAGAGAGAGAGAGAGAGAGAGAGAGAGAGAGTGCAATGGTTTTAATTATTTGTGCTGTATATATGGTTATATGTTTATAGTTATAAATGCATAATTTCAGTTAATTTAATACACTGTTCAAATATAGTTCTTTATAGTCTCGTATTGAATATGCAATAATTGTTTTGCTTATTGATAATGATTGTTTTTACACGTGGCAATAAGAAAAGATAATTGGGTGGAGTTGTCTTGGGGCCCGGAGTACAAATTAGCCTGGGGGCCCAGAAGCCCTAGCGGCGCCCCTGTTCACTGCTCTAAAACACAGAAACAACAGGCACTGCATTTTAAAGGCTATTTAAATGAATTTTAAAGGCTATTTTACATGCACTCTCCAAATTCACAGCTCAGATTGTTAGTCTGCGTTTTCTAGCGTTTAAGACACTGTTTGAAATGACTGACGTTTTAGCAAGAACGCAACCTAGTCATCAATTATAACATTTGGGACAGATGCTAAATCTTTGTGATAGCCCCAGCTGTTCATTGCAGCTCTAGTTTGTGTGTAAACAAAGTCTGTGCCAGGGAATCTCAATATGTATTCTGTTTCACGCAACGACTTAGAAGATAAAACACTGATGAATGTGTTTACAAAATTCATTACTCAAAAAAGAGCAAGTAAGTGTAGCATATCCACTTACGGCGAAACAGACTATCTGTCTTTCAGGTCTTGTTCTGTGGATTAATATGCCTCTCTGTGCTGAAATTGATGTGAAACGCTTGCAGTTGAAATGGAAATTGGTTATTAAATGACCTCTTACAGTGATTGAGCTCTAAAAAGAAGCACTAAGAGCACAGTATTGCTTTTCACCATAGTGCAGGTGGATGTAAAGCTAATAAAAGCTAATTCATATTATGTGGATGGAGAAGAGAGCTTTTTTGTAATCATTTCATCGCAATTATTTTTTTCGATAGATACCACAACTTTATTTTATGTAGCATACCTCAATAGTCGTGAAACAATCTGTGCATATAGTACTAGAGATGTAACTTGCTGGAAAGGCTCACAGGACAGCTGGCTGAGACTAAAGTTGTGTAATTGGGATCCTGTGCAATGCAATAAAATGTGGTAGGTTTTACTTTCATGCAGGCATGAGTGAGCGGGCAGATATGAAGCTCGGGGGACAAAAAAGCCATGTTCATTATTAGGATTTTCTTTGTTATATGGGCAGTGGAGCTTAGTGGAAAAGATGTTAGACTTGTAATTTGGTGGTCATGAGTTCAAATCCCCTCACAGCCACTGCTGGGATTTTAACCCTCAACTTCTCAGTATAACTGAGATGAATGTAAATTGCTCTATATAAGGACATCTGCCACATACTGGAAATGTAAATTATGAATGTGCGGTGCTACTCATTCATTCATTCTTAGCTTGAATTAGGCTAATCGTTGTTAATATTTTGGGAAATAAACAATATATACCAATTAAATTAATTAGAAAATATCAAGAGCACGTACAAATGAAAATAATAATGTGAGCAGAACAGTCCTGTGTACATTTTTAATTGAGAACTGGAGTGATGTAGCTGAGGTTGAGGAACTAATCTGTGAGAGCCACAAATCACACAGCGTGCTGACAGGACAGTGCTGCCATTTCTACCTCAGTTTTTATTTCCAGTGTCTTCCAGTGTTTAAATCTATACAGATTACATAGGCAGATATACAGAGACAATACAGATATGGATATTTAGAGTACTAATCAACCAATGATAGTGTTATTGTGTTATACCCCTAGTACATTCTAAAATATATACTAACATTAATAATCATTCAGGACCTTGTGAAATGTCTCAGTTGAAACAAGAAATTTACACCAATCAGTTTGATGTAGTGTATGGCAGTGAAGTTTACGCCTGTAAGCTTTAAAGTATATCTTTACACAGTTGGACACTGTATTAAGCATAAACTGGCGAATACAAAGTACAAGGAGTGGACAAGATAACAGAAACACCACAAAAAGGACCTTAAGTTGGAAGAGACTAAATCACAATTACAAACTCAGCTGCACAGACACTATTAATGGCACATAGCCTACGTATTTACGGTGAAATCTGAGGGCGCAAAGAAGCTTCCGGTCTGTATTCAGCCACAGCGAAAGTGCATTACCAGCCAACATCTTTTGTCAACTAACGATTCATATAAAATAATATTTACACAGTTTATTGTTATAATATCACATTTTAAATATATCCCACTAACATAATATAAAACTTAATTAGTGATGAGTTCCAGAAAGTTTAAGTACATCCGATGTGTGGGTGTTTGCTGTGTCCCGTATTATGAGGCTTCCCAGAGGTTTAACTCTGTGTTGATTTTTCATACTTTTCCCCTGGATAAAGAAACTCGCAATAAGTGGATTCACAGTATTCAGCGTTGGGATTTTAACATCACTCCAGACAATAGAGTCTGAACTGTTTGAAACAGAGTTTTAAGGTGGATTATGCTACATGATAAGGGTATCATACACCAAATGAAGAAAGATCATTTACATACTGACTATCATGTGAAGTCAATCCTATCACAGCCACATGACGGATGTAAACAAATGTAGATCACCAAGAGCTCTGTTGCTGTTGCAATAGTATAAAATAATATATCTTATATAGATAAATATATATATATATATATATATATATATATATATATATATATATATATATATATATATATATATATATATATATATATATATATATATATATATATATATATATATATATATATATATATATATATATATATGCTAAAAATCTGCATAAAAATCATGCAGTATTATCCATCCTTTAGAGCTAGATTTGCTAGTAGACATTAGCATTATAAAACTCACCCTCAAAGTTGTTGATGTAACTTGTAAGTCCTTCTCCATTTTACTAGACGGCGTGACAGCTGACAGCCTCACAATACGACGGACATCGATAACGTTCATCCAAGGAAGTTCATCTTTTCCTCAGTCGTTTTGGCAGCTCTAGGTAAAGAACAATGGCTTCCGGAGAAAAAATGCGGCAGTGACCGTGCATAGAGTCAATTATTTTACATTGAATGGCAACAAACTGCACGTGTCAGTCTGACAATTAGCATTTTGACGTGTGAGATTTTAAAGGAAACTAATGGAGTTGAGATTCCAAAAGTGCAGTCACAAAAACTGGACACTTATTTAATGTTTCAAGGGGAGCTGTCTCCAAAGTAATGGTAGCGTATGTGAAACAAAAAGGAACAAAGAGGAACATCTCTCACAAGTTGAAACTCTGTAACAGAGAGAGATGGACACTTTACATAATAGCTGCTAAATGCCTTAAATGTACAGTCATGACAATAACAATAGAATTGAATGTGCACTGGTATGACCCAGTCTCAACAAAACCTATAAAGCTTGAATTCAAAGCAGGGCTGCCATTTGGAGACATTTTGTATCAAAGGTCAATGCATGATGAAGTACAAAAGCTGGACCCTGGGTTGCAGTATAAAGCAGTATGATGAGTCTGATGAGTCAACATCTACATGGATTTGCAGTATGTTGGAGAAAGCCAATGGATGCTTTTAACCCACAATGTCTGTTAGATACAGTTGGCAGTCCGTAATGTTTTTGGCAGACATCTGGTGGAAATCATTAGGTACATTGATTGCTTTGCTAAAAAATATTAGGCAATTTTACAGGACAAGGTGCATCCTATTGTGTAAGCACTCTTTCCTGATAATGTTCCCATAGACGGGATGATAATGCTCTCATATATATTGCTACAATGATTCAAAAGCAGGTTGATGAAGTCAGTTCTTTGGATTTAACATCACTGAACTGTTGAGGGAACTTCTGGATATCACTTCAATGCAGACAGATATACACATCCTTCATCAATCCAAAAAAAAAGGGGGGGGGGGGGTATTGATATTAATATATTTTTATGGGTTTGGTTATTTGGTCCACCACTGCTTTATCATGTATGTAGAAATTATCTGTTTATATTGTACATAGCCATGTTAATGGTATGTTGGATGTGATGGGGCTGGGATCATGTGTCAATCAGCAGGAAGATAAGCATCTGTGGTTTCCTCATTCACACCAACACATCAACAAATTCCGCTGACTTTAAAAGGTTTTTGAAAATTGCTCTTTCATGGTGGACCGAAGACCAAGAGTGGGAAAACCTTTTACATTTATCTGTCTTAGTATAGACAGGATCTCAGTTTATCAGAAAATAATCATTTGTTGTCAAAGTGCTGTTGCAATATGACATACTAAAAGCCTTGGTTTCACTAAAACATGGCTCGAATCTTGAGCTTGAGCTTTAACCCTAAACATTTAATTAGTGGTTTATCATTCCCGGAAATCATTTAGCTCAAAGTTTTTGTACTATATAGAATCACTCCAGTAAAAACCTCTGGTGCAGCCCTAAACATTTTGTGTTTTTTAAGCTGAGCTTCCAGGAAGCTCTATGATTTAGAGAAAATTAATTAACTCATCCTACAAAGTGCTACTGAATATTATTCACTTGGCTTTCACTCTTAATTCTGGTCAAAAAAAAGTCATCCAAACCTAAAGAGATGCCAAAAGCGCAATTCATATCAGCACACATCCTCCTTTTCTATGTCTCCTTGGCAACACATCTCCCAGTGGAAGTGAATGCAAAATAAGAGATTTATCTTTACCGGTCTCTTTGATAAGGATCTTATAGGGTTTTTACTCACTGTGACCTTGGAACCCAGATCACAGCAGACGTTTCTGCATTTTAATTTGCATGCAAATTATTAATCATTTAAAATATAACTGCTTTATCATGGTCAGGGCATGAGGTGGGAATACACCCTAAATGGGAGTCCAGCACAGAGTAGCATGCACACACACACACACACACTCATTTACACCTAGGGGCAAATTAGAGTAACCAATCCACCTACTGGCATGTTTCGGAGATGTGGGAGGAAACCAGAAAACCCTGTGTGAACAAGAGGGGAACATGTGAAACTCCACACAGACAGTAACTTTAACATCTTAGCTCAGGAACCCTGGACCCTGGAGCTGTGAGGTGGCAACACTACCTGCTGCTTTTCACATTTGTCAGCGTTCTCCATTGGAGTATTCACATTAATATGACATTGAACAATTGAGTGGGGAAAGGCTGGCTCTTTTGTTTATAGGAGCTAACAGCAAAATCTGTAATGTAGTGTAATTTGCCATTATGGTTGAAATTAAACACCATTATAACTGTGTGAGAAATATCATGCCGTGACATCGTATCATCAGACTACTGCTAACGTCTCTCTGATGTAGTGAAAAGTGTTCATTTTGCCTATCTATGGAGACTTTTGGGACACGCTGTATTTACTATAATTCTATTATGTCTATATTAGTCACTATACCCTGCTTGGAAAAAAAAACAAACCAAAAAAAAAAAAAAACCCCAACAATCAATAGAAACCCTCATAGAATTTGTAATGGTTTTACTGTAAAGCATTTGGCAGACACCCTTACCCAGCATTTTAATGGTTATAATAGGAATTGTATTGGTTTTTTAAGGGAACATGTAATGGTATCTGTGTGTCCATAGTAGTCATTTGTTCCCTTCTATATCTTGGCATTTTATGTTTAGCGGATACCATTAAAGACCAGTAATGGTAATGGTTTCAATGTTTAGATGGTGGTTTGTAATGTTATATGTAGTGGAAACCATTAGAATGTCAGTGATGGTTTAAATATTATTTTTCAGCAGGGTGGTTACTTAGTGTATCAAAATAGCACACCTGTGGCATTAATGGTAGCTTGTGGTTGGTGAAAGTGAGCGAGTGAGTGAGTGAGTAGAAGTAGTAATAATAAGAAGAAGAAGAACAGGAAGAAGATATAGAATTTACTGTTATTCTAAAGAGTGTCCCAAAAGTCTCCATACGTAGGGGACAATGTACACCGGCACCACGTCGTTGTTCTTTCATCAGTGGATGTTCATGGACGTTCACCGTTGAGTATCATTGCTAGTGGGTTAATCCACTGTTCTGTCACACCATGCGTTGTGGTTGCTGAGGATTGGGAGGTAGTCAAAACCACATCAGTGAACCCACCCCCCTATTCGGACGGGGACAATGGTACGGTCCGCAGCGGCGCGATGGCTCGTCTATTCTCGGCTTCGGAAGAGCGGATCTGTTCGAGGGGAGACTGCGCTGCTGGAAATTCTCCGTTACTTACTAACAGCGCGTGAGGGAGGAGTCGCGAGCCGTCAGTCTGGATCCGTTTACAATGACCATGTACAAAGG